ATTGATATTTATGCTTTTAGTGCAATCTGTTTATTTTAATTTGTTGTGCGCTTCCCCAAAATCTCTCGACGTGGAACCGTTTATGAAGTCTTTAGTAAATGGTGGGATCAATTTAAATATATAAGCAAGGCTTCTGAGAACGGAAGAGCTCCATCTGCTCACAGACCAGACGGAAATAGAGCAGAGGTTCTTGCCGGCCGCCGGCCGGCAAGGGTACGAGGCAATTTTCCCCATCCTGCCCTTCCCGTGTCGCCCCTCTACACACACCCTATTCGAGATTGTCCTCAGCTGTCCAGATCAAATGTTCTGGGGGAACTGGAGAAAGGGGCTATATTTTTCCCACTGGTGGGATAATTCAATGAGTAGAGCTACATTCAGGGCACGCTCTCATCAGTGGAAGCAAACTGGGGATGTAAGTCAAACTTATTAGTTCTCCAAGATGATACCTTCAAGAGCCGTTTTCACCTTACAATTTAGGCCCTAAACTTAGGGTTATGACGAGTGTACAGCCAAGAGATCCAGGGAAAGCTTTTCATTTCATTTATCTGAAGTATTTGTATGTCACTCTTCACCGAGAAAGGCTCTCAGCTGAGGCATTATCAATGAAACAAAGCACTCCGTTCCCACAGGCTCACGCTCTAGAAAGACATGACACACGTGGAAAAGAGAAAGTTGCGGTACGAGGAAGAGATAATCGTTCTGTTAGCAGAGCCGGTACGAAGGCCGCGCTCTCCCTAGTTAGCATGCCCGTCGAGGCCGTAACAAGCGGGGGTGAAAGAGCCTCCTTACCGCATGGCGCTCGTATCGCACTGTGTCAGTTCTGAGGCGGCTTGACACCGCTCCTCCACTAGAGGACACTCTGGTTTCCCACCTCCTCTCGGTATGCGGCTTAGCCTCAGCTTCCTGCTCTCGCGACACCTGCAAGACCAGGAGGTCGCGCGCGCTCTCTCTCGCGGGAACCTAATTCCCGTATAATCTCGCGGGGTCTTCTCTTTCCGGTCTCTTTGGCTCTCGGCGCGGCGCTATGGCGGTTGGCAAGAACAAGCGCCTGACTAAAGGAGGCAAGAAAGGCGCGAAGAAAAAAGTGTAAGTCCGCCTAGGCAGGATCGCAAGGGAAGTAGGAGCGTGGCTGAACGAGAGCCGCGCTCCTGGGGTGTCGGATGCCTCCGATATTGCTTGGATGGTGGAAGGGGGGGGGGTCAGTGTGGAGAGAGCGCCGCTGACATGGCGGCTGGCTGGGAAAGGAGGAAAGTGGGTGCAGGAACGACGGGCTTGTGCGTTCAATGGTGGGAAGGGAAGCCCAGCAAGGACACTTTGCCGCCGGCTCAAGCCTCTTTTCCTGCAGCTTGAAGTTGAGATCTCTCATTGGGGCATTCCCCACATCAGTAGCTGCGCCGCAGTGGCAGCGACTCTTCCATATCGGAGAAGAAAGCAAAGCAGTTGCATCAATTTGGGCAAATAAGTTATTAGTGCAGTAGCTTGTAGGCGAGTAGGGCCTAGTAACTGTCGGGCTGTACTTCATAACTTATGTACTTCGTGGCCTTGCTTATCTCGGATGGAGTATTGGCATGCTGTAGGAATGGGTTGCGTTATAATTTCGCAGTATTCAAGTTTGTGGTATTACTGGTTGCTGCTAAAGTGAGCTATCGATGTCTGGTATGGTAACTTGGGCCAGATTAGCAAAACTAATGTGTTTCTTGCTGTTTAAAAAGCTGTGAAGCAATCTTGGTTTTGGTAGACTTGAATTTTTAATCTCAGCTCATCTGCTCGTGAAATTGAGAAAAATAAGTCCTCAGGATTCAGTTCTCCTGTGAAGTACAAAGGGAGAAACATTTTGCTTGGCTGTGTATTTTTGATGAATCAGATATTGCAATTTTTTAAAATACTGGATTTGTCTTTGTGCTTGTAAGGATATTGAAGAGCCGTGTTTCTGGGTCTAGTAGAAAATTGGAGATTTACAAGCACTGACAAGATGCTGTCAAGAACAGGACATTTTGGAGGGCTTTTATGCGTAGAAGACAACTTGTACATAACAGAAAATTTCAGAGTTAAATGTGGAAAAGTTAGTCTGAAGCCGGCCTCTTCTCTTTGAAATCAGGGTTGATCCTTTCTCAAAGAAGGACTGGTATGATGTCAAGGCCCCAGCCATGTTCAATATTCGAAACATTGGGAAGACATTAGTCACCAGGACTCAGGGAACAAGTAAGTTAACTGCATGAAATTTCTGTTACTTAATTACATTACCATTTTCTGAGATTTGTTAGACAGAAGCTTGTTAGATTGATCCTTGTGCTTTTACTTTTTAAATTGTGAATGCTGTTTTCAGTGGATAAAGTAGGGCTTTAACCCTTTTAACCTTATCTGCCCAGCAAAAATCTGTTGAAATTATTGCCTGACCAGTAGCTTAATGAGAACCACAAGTGACCAAAATTTAACAACATTTTGCTGTTTAGTTTCGCATTTGTCTGTAGGGATCAATAACTTAATTTACTATTTCTATAGAAATTGCCTCTGATGGACTTAAGGGCCGTGTATTTGAAGTAAGTCTTGCTGACCTTCAGAATGATGAAGTTGCCTTCCGTAAATTCAAGCTGATCACAGAGGATGTGCAGGGAAAAAACTGTCTCACAAACTTCCATGGCATGGATCTCACACGCGACAAAATGTGTTCAATGGTCAAGAAATGGCAGGTTAGTGATTCTTGCATGTCATTTTGATGTTGTAAGTAGTGTGGTTTGTTGCTGTTTATAGTTTTGTGGGGGAATCTGTAGATGCTAAATAAATTACAATTAGCATGTACACAGTGTCTGATCCTAAATAAGAGGTGGTTCTAATCACCAAAAAGTGTATAGTCGCAGAATTTTTTGTTGTAGTGTCTAAACGTACTGTGTGGAAATTTCACTGAACTTGCTAATAATGTTTTTAGTGTTAAATGCTCATATCTAAATACAAAATTTTGTACATTGAGAAACTGTTAGAATCCTGTTATAATTTTTCCAGACAATGATTGAAGCCCATGTTGATGTCAAAACTACAGATGGGTATCTTCTACGTCTTTTCTGTGTTGGCTTCACCAAGAAGCGAACAAATCAGATTCGCAAGACTTCCTATGCACAGCACCAGCAGGTTCGCCAAATCCGCAAGAAAATGGTGGAAATCATGACACGAGAAGTACAAACAAATGATCTGAAAGAAGTTGTCAATAAGTTGTAAGTTGAATTTTGTGTTTATCTTTCAGTGAGTTGGTTTTCATTCATTTTTAATTCCATGATCTGTAACCATTGGCTGAACTAGCTAGAGCTGATGGAAATTTTAGGGTGAAAGAGCTAGAAGGCTACAAGTTGCCCTCCCTCATTTTAAACAGAATTTGTTTGCACTTTATATTACTATATTCCATTGTGAGACCCAGTGGAAGCTATGGTTAGAGAAGGACTCAGAAGAGCTATGTTCCAGTGCCCACTGGGCTGTCAAAATCACTGATTTTCAGTTTGGGCAGTCAGGGTTGTGTTAAGGATAAAATAGAGAGTAGTGCTATGTAAGCTGCCTGTGGTTCCTGAAAAGACAAAAACAGCCAACATATAAATATGGCATATGGATAAATATAAATAATACCACCTTTTCCAGCTCCAAATGCTAATTGCATTTGGTGATCTACATCCTGTTTTTAGTACATTCATGCACTTGCGATTTCTCTTGAGGGTTTAAAAGAAAAGAGGCCTAAATAGGAAAGTGGCTCACTTTAGCTTAATGATCCATAAAATACATTTTAGTGTTTTCTTTCAAAGAACTGTAGAGTGCACAGTTTTTAGGGTTCACATTTATAGTGCTAGGGTTGGATTCAGACTTTGGCATATTTAGAAGATCCGTGGATATTTTAAGTACACAGTTTCTCCACTGTAAATATTTGCTGCTATTTTCCAGTCATATATGGAAGTAAGCTTGTTGTCATTTTAATGTTATATACATGTTGGATGGTAAATTGAAGTTTTTTAAAAAAATTAAGCTTCATTTATGGTGGGAATTTATTGTTTGTTCTGTTAGCCCTTTCATTTATTTTAATCTGTTAGGTATCTTATTTTATCTATTTCAGCCACTAGTTAGCTTTTCTTTCTCCTGAGGAATTAACTTTTTCTGCCATGTCAAATATTTGAGGCAAAGCTCTCATTTTAACTTGCATTTTCTTGAGCTGTAATGTGTGACATCCTGTGCATATATGATAGGAAGCTGTGATCTGCATCACTTAGTTGCTTTATCTTGTTCGGCTTATTCAGGGATGGGCATCTGGCTCTCTCCTGATATTTTCAGTTACCATTTTCACCTGATGCAGCCACCATAGATAATGGCTTGGAATTATGAGTTGTATTTCAAAACATCCTGACTTAATCATACCTCAAGTATGATTATTTGAAATTTATTAATGGGATTTATTGAAATTAATGGGATTTCAGTTAGTCATTACTAAAGTCCCATTAGTTTTATTTGGTCTTTTAAATATGATTCAGACTGGATTTAGTCTCAGGTTGCCTATTCCCAACTTTTCTGTTCTAATGTGGTTGTTTCTGAAATCTGTCTGACCAAGCTGAATCATATAAATGTATTCTTGGTTCAGATGTTGATCTAGTTACCCTTTCTCAGGACAGTTGTGTGCAAACAACAGAAAAAGACAGATACTGTGCATTAACATCTCTATTCTGGCTTCAGCACTAGCAGCATTCGGAGAAAGGCAGAAATTTGTGCTACCTTTTAAAGATGTCTTTAAGTTATTTGCTCCTTTGTTTCTGATAGGTTTGGTGAGTTGAAGGCTGCTTAATAAACTTTCTTTGCTACCATTTTAGGATCCCAGACAGCATTGGTAAAGACATAGAAAAAGCCTGCCAGTCAATCTACCCCCTTCACGATGTCTATGTTCGTAAAGTCAAGATGCTTAAGAAGCCCAAGTTTGAATGTAAGTAGTTATATTTATAAAAAGATTAGCATTCAGTATATGAATTTGCTGTGGGAATGAATGATGACAATTTGTTTCGGTCCCAGATGATATGGTGATTAATGCATTCCAAAGCTGACATTCCCATAAAGTACCCCAAAGTTTAATTTTTTATGGTGTTTTAAAGGTGTTTAGTGAAAACCAAAGAATCTATTACTAATTGGTATCTTATTCTTTAGATGAGTATAAAGTTAACTTGCTCAATGTAGAATATTAACATCAATATTAATTTAAAGTATATTATTATTTGTAGTGGGCAAGCTGATGGAACTTCATGGTGAAGGTGGTGGTGCTGGAAAGCCATCAGGTGATGAAACTGGTGCCAAGGTAGAAAGAGCTGACGGGTATGAACCTCCAGTGCAAGAGTCTGTCTAAAATCAGATACAAAAAATAAAAGATCTAATATAAATGGTGTGAATTTGTGCTTTTGTAAGAAACATCTACTCATATTTTATATTCATAAAGCTTGCTAAAAGTCTCTGACTTAGCAAGTAGGCCTTTATCTTTGGGTAGTTCTGTTTTGATTCTTTTTTTTAAATCAAAAGGCATCAGGAAGTTCTATTATGTTTCAAAATAATTTTGCCAAACAAGTTTGAATGTAAAGATGGAGGTCTGTTGGTACCCTGAGTTGCAGCTAGAACTACTTGAACAGTACAGTGGTACCTCGGTTCACAAATGCTTCTGTTTGCGAACAGAAAGTTTGGCGAAATTTTGCCTCCGATCGCGAACTCTGCATCAGGTGATGACCACAATCGTGGCCATCTTCCGCTTGCTCAGGCTGCAGCAAAAGCCCAAGATGGTGCCATGCCACCTACGGAAAGGGAGAGCACAACACGAGGGGCAGCCATGAGGGTGCGCTCTCTTCGCTCAAGGCCTTCCCAGCTCCTCAGAATAGAAGGCACACGCATTGAAATCACTTGGCTAGCTGAAGATTGTGTTTAGACATTGTGTTGTTATCTTTTCCTAGTCCAGAAGAGCACATTGTTAATTGACACACAGCAGTTACTCACTGTTTAGAAAAATGTTAGCTGCTCTTAGTTCCATTGAAATTAGTGGGAGGAAGTTATGATTAACTTGCAAAACTAACTTCACTTGTAACTTTAGTTCAGCTTTGTAGGTAATTGACTTTTGCAAGCTTACCTACAAAACTTCCTCGTAGCCTGCTTGGACAATGCAGCTGACAATGTTTTTATTTTTGACAATGTTTTTGTATACAACTGTGTAATTCTCCTAGTGCAAAGCTTTTACTGCTTGTGCAAGAATCAAAATGGCATTCCCGCAAGTATAATATTTTGATCTCACTACTGCAAGCTGTTCCACACAATTTCACTCAGATAATAGTGATGCTGTATCAGGCAACCCTTCTAAATGTGTAAGCTGGACTGCTTCCCTGTCACCACATCACCCATTTTTCTTGTTTTGATGTAACAATTCACATTAATAGTGTTTAAGAGATTTACAGATATACTGGTAATCAAGGCTGCATCCCATGTGTGCATACTTGGAAAATTTTGAAGAGTGGGAAAGTTACGAACTTACCTCTGCAAATCTCTTCAAAAATAACCACTTGGAACTTTCCAGAAGCAAGGAAATAAACATTGGGTAAAATGTTTTCTAAGACTTTGGATAATGTCAGCTGTGTTTGGTAGTCATACAATAAAAGTTCAATGAGAACTAAACATGCTAAGTGGGTAGTGAATGCTGACTTAGGGGGCAAATTTTGTTGCCAGTAATGCAATGCAATACTCAAGCAAGTTTGCATTCAGGTGACCATTTAAAGCCAGATTTTTATAATGGGAATTCAGTATAATTGGAATTCAAAATGGGTTCAAACATGGTTTTTATTCAGTATCCTCAGTGAATGCTTTTATTCAGTTTGGACTGCATTTACGCACCTAGGAGATAAGACATGGGTTGCAGTTGAACAGTTAGAACACAGGTATAAAGAAGCTGTTTTTCAGTTAGAAGTTTCAATAAAAGTTGATATTTCATGCCAATTCTGTTGGTAGTCATCTCATCAGTTTTATGTTTAATTCTAGTCACCCTTGATTTTATCAGGAAACAGTCTCGCTAGGAGAGGTGAGATCCGGGAGGGGTTTTTTTTTAATAATATAATTTAGTTGGAAATTTTACAGTTGGCAAGTTTTTGAATTAATGTGTATAATGGAAGAGTTGCTTCTATCATAGCTGTTTGAAAAATGCATTAGCTGAACCAGTTATGATGGATTACTTCAAGTTGCTCAGGTATCCAGTCATTTGCTTCACACGACAGCTTTAAGCAAACTGGTTTATTGGTTAAATACAAATGTTTTGGGTACCATCAGTTAGGGGATAGTACATTGAACTGTTGGAGGTAAAATGGCTTATTTTGTACACACAATCTTTGAATTATAATTTTACAATTCTGAAACTTAACTACTGTTACAATATTAACATTTCCTAGTTTACATTCACGATTGTGTAATATGTATTGGGCTAAAATGCCCTATGCTGCTTTCCCACCAAACTTGCATACAGTGGGGAGTTTAAAAACCTTTAATACTTTATGGTCTCATTCTGGAAAGTGAATATTTTTCAAGTTTAGACCATTAAACCCATGAAGAGCCCTTTAGATAACAGTGTCGAAGAGAAGTTTCTGCATTTTGCAAATCTGAGCATATAGAATTATGAGACTAGTAATATTGTTCAGCCAAATACCTATTTGAATTTATGAGAGGTTAATAGATAACATCCATTTACTGTCTTATACAAGTATTCACACTTTTTCATTAAAGCCCCTTCCTTTCCAACCTGCCTCTACATGGTTAAATTACTATGTGCTCAAAATATTTACATGCAAACAAAAAAGATACTTTCAACAATTATTGCACTTAAGCTGTGTGGAGCTGTTTTTTGTTGGTTACCTTCAGTAAAGCCTTTCAAAGTATACCCAAGATCCATACTGGCATATGCAGTGCTGGATTTGGGAATCAGTGTAAGTACTCAGCCATTGTTGGGAAGAGATTCTGCTTCTCTTCTAAATAGACATAAAATGGCAAATTATAAAAGCATCTAGTAAGCATACATATGGTATTGCCTTTGTACCATTATAGCCTTCATGAAGTTCTGGGCAAAGATGATCTAAAACTTTGGTTTTTGCAGTCCACATGCATTTCACATGTATACACACAGAAATGGAACGGGTAAATAGCTTCTGTATGCAAAAGGGGGGATAGTAATAAAATATTAGGTACCCAGAACTTCCCAGAAGGCAGGGGTACTTTTTAAGCGGGCAGGGTAGCATTTCCTATGAGATGGAAAATTCAGTACATACTGCCTATCCTTAGCACTCTGTTACATCATCACTTTACTGCTAAACTTAATCTCATACCATAATATGCTGGAAGGCTGGCAATTCTGGCCTTGCAGTCCTTTCTTGTAATGAACTGAACGGCCACACAGGTTGCACCTACTTCTGGAAAAATCCAGCGTTGCTTGAATATGGGTTTTTTCCTGCCTTGCTGAAATTAAGATTCTTCAAAGGGGTTTTAAAGTCAGATGTTCAGAGCGAATTATGTATAACCCTTTGGCTATGTACTTGTTGCTTCAAGGGGAAGACACATGTGCTGCTTGGGAAACCAGTCAAGCAGACAAATCCATGTAGAAACTAACGGAATAGAAACACGTTTTCCATTTTAAAGCATTTTCTGACTGGCAGTGGAGATTTGCCTAATTGAAAATGACATCATTTTGGGAAAAAATGTACATAAAGTTAATCAATAGTAGTATGCAAATATATATATAAGCTACAAAAAGGAACATGTGAGTGACAACTGAATTGCATAGCGTTCCAGTCACATAATTTTGTTTTGAAGTGTTCAGAGATGTGTTGTTATTTATAACATGCTTACCTCGATTAAAATGAAGACAAAACAAGCAGATCCTAATGATGGTCACTTAGTCACATAGAAACAGAGTGAGTCAGAAGGGGTCTCCTGGGCCATCTAGTCTTATCCCCACCTCCAGCTGGCTCCACTCATTACATGCCTACCATGTGCATATCCAGCACAAATAAAATGCCACTTAGGTGGTAGGATGAAAGTAGAGACTCAAGATTAAACAGAATTCAACTTCTGTATGAAATAGTTGCCAAACATCAGACATAGCTCCGAAAGCATTTAGGTATAGTGCATGTGTCAAGGCCATACAATTAGGCTGGTAAAAGATTATTTAAAGACACCGTAATGGAATCTGTGCAACTGCAAGAGAAGCCTGTTTCATGCTGTCAGTTACAAGTTTGGTGATGCTGCCAGGTTTCCTTGTTTTTCACAAGGAATAGTTTTAGAAGAGCTGAAAAGATTCTAATTCCAACTTGTTCTGATGAAATAATTGCTTTTGGAGCATTGGAGATTCTTGATCACTTTATATTTTAGTTGTCTGTGACAAGATTTGTATTACACAAAGTGCTGTTTCCTACACCAATAAAAGGTAAATGAAATCTATTCAGCATGTGTCGGTAGTTTATGAACATGATTGTTTTATGTTCAGCTTTATTTTAAGAATTTTGGAAAATCAAAGGGAAATTTTAAACTGCTTTAAGTTTACAGTTTAGGTATTATACTTCCAACCCTGAAGGGAAGAGAGGAAATCCAAGCAAGAGAAAGCAAGGCAAAATGGAGTTTAATAAAATTTTGTTCTAATTATATATTAAATCGATAGTTCCCATTGTACGGATAAACAGTCATAGTTGAGAGATGTATTTCACATGCATAACGCATTGGCAAAAATATCAGGGAAATTATTTAGAAAAACGTTGAAATTAAGAAATGGCCTCAAGAAACGTGTTGAATCTATGAAGCAGTACTTTGGATGCGGAACAAATAACAAATGTTATATAATGGCATCAGTCACCTGTAGATCCTATGGAATCTAGGAAATGAAAAGGATGGAGAACAGACCACAGGACAACGCAGGAGTAGAGTACATGCATTGCCAGGAATTGCTTCATTCAGTCCACGCGTTCAGTTAAAAAGATCTGATAGCAGATGATAGGAAGCACACCTACTTGAGATCTATGACAGCCACTGCTAGTTAAGGTGGATGATACTGGGCTAAACAGACTAGCCAAGTACAAGGCACCTTCTGTTCATATAAAGTTGCAGCCGTTACTAAGGAATCCTGTGGTTTCAGGCTGGTTTACTCTTCTAACACAAGGCAAGGGATGCATTAAAAGAATGGGCAATTTGACTTACATGGTTTAAAAGGAGAGACCCCCCTCCCCACAGTTATGATAATATAACAAGATTTACCACTTTCACACACAGACTATTAAACATTTACATAACACAGTATCTGTAGTGGGAATGAAGAGATGCAACTCAAGCAGAATTTGAATATTCAGTTTTTAAAAATATGCTAAAACTGCTAAGGGACAGGTAGCTTAAAAGTCCAGTATTGTACCAAATTGTTATTGAAACAATGAAGTAGGGCTTTTAAGAAAGGGTCAACTGGAAATATTATACGATCTAGTGTTCTTTTTTATAAAAATAGTGCAAAAATGCATTTTGATAGTCAAGATTAGATCAAATATCTTAGAAGTCAGCCTCTCTGCTGCCTGAAGTATAATGTGCATTTGTGCTAGTAAGGTATTCACTTGTGTGGGTAGATAATCCATAACTGGGTGTCATCTTTAGGAAAACTGTAGAATCTGAACAAAGTTTTTGGGAAATATTCCAGATTTGCCATATAGCTCTCCACTCATCCATTCTTCATCTACAGGTTCCAGTTCTGTTATGATATCACCAGCCTGTTGGAATATGTAAATTGCAGTCAACATAAATCAGATCCTGTTAACATGCTTTATCCATTTATTTTCAATATTGTAAAGTACTGTGGATTACTCCCTGGTGAAAAATTTGCTCACAGTCTTATGTATTCATTTGCCATTTTTTCAGTTATAAAAGATTTAAAGTGAAACAATACTTCTGAGGCATTTAAACCTCCCACTAGTAATTCTGAAAGTGAACTTGGTAATTTGCATATCTCTACAGTGTGGAAACATTTCTATACTGTTCATGTTCAATTTCAGAGTGGCATGCAACAATATACATGATTATTTAAAACCTAACACAGAAACATATTAACAACCAGAGTGAAAAGGCAAATAAAAATAAAGCAGAAAGGGATCAATCAGATTTAGGTGGTTGGGTAAATGACATTTACCCTGCTGCTGAACAGAATGCATTAAATCACAAGGCATTCCAAAACTGGGATGCACTAATGAATATAGTTACATAATACAGTTTTGATAAATACACTTAGAGTAAGGTCTTGGTGGTGTGTCTCAGCTGAGAAGCAAGCTGCTAAACTTAGGCTGCAGTACCTAGAAGTCTCATTTGAAATGCATGGGCTTATTTCTGAATAGACATGCATAGAACTTGACTGTCTGTCAACTGAAGTTACAGGTTTATCATAACACTAGTCTATGTACATATCTTTGGATGTGTTCACTATGGGAACTAAAAAATACTGTGTTGCATCCAGCCCAACACTGTCTATGTTGATTACCAACAGTTCTCCAGAGTTACACTCTGTGTACCTGGAGATAATGAGTATTAGAACTTGTAGTTTTAGTACAGTTTTGAAAGCATGGGTTCTACCAAACTGTTTCCCCGCTGGACATCAGAATCAATTCATTAAGTTTGAATACTTGAGTTATGAACTATACATTAAATAGTTAATTGGTTCATATGGTGCAGAGGCGGCCACAAATTTTTACAAAGCAGCTGTAATAGTTAACTTTTTAAATAAAACTCCTTTCAGGATATACTCATTCTTTCATTTTCTACTAAACAAGAAATGTAGGCCAGTGTTTTTCATATCTCTTGTAGTGCTGCAAACAAAAATGAATGTAAAGAATACTCACTTTGAAGGACAGTTCATCTGTATTCTCAGCATGAAAGTCATACAGGGCCTTGGCTTTTCCTTTCTTCCCACCTGCAGGCTGTGATGAATGTGTTTCTCCTGTAAAATTTGATTATTTTACAATGCAGTTGGTATAAAACAACAAAAAAAAATTCTGTAACATTTGTTGCCCTGGTCTGGCATTGGGTTTGGAAGATGAAGGGAAATGAGGGCAGGAATCTGATTGTTACATTGTGAAGGGGGGACATTTTAAGTGCTATATGTATTTTAATGAATCCATGTCTTAAGTAGTATGCAAAACTGTTTAGTTTTGCTCATGATCCCTTATAAATAAAAAAGTTGCAGACAGGTCAGTGCTAGTTAAATAGCAAAAAAGTGGCCAGAAATCTGGATTACTGCCTGACCAAAAGAAAGAGTTCTTTAATTCCTATCCTGAAAGTTTATTTTATTGGTTAAAAGAGAGTGCTGCAATCCTTTTCAGGGCATATGTTTTAATTTAGCTGCTACAGAGCAGAGAGTTTAAATATCTTTAAATATCTTCCTTTACTAAAGGTAAAGGCTTCCCCTTGACATTACGTCCAGTCATGCCTGACTCTAGGGGGTGGTGCTCATCTCCGTTTCCTAGTCGAGGGACCCAGCGTTTGTCTGCAGACAGTCTCCGTGGTCATGTGGCCGGCATAACTACACACCGAAGTGCATGGAACGCTGTTACCTGCCCACCAAAGTGGTACCTTTTTATCTACTTGCATTTGCATGCTTTCGAACTACAAGGTTGGCAGGAGCTGGGACGGAGCAATGGGAACTCACTCCGTTGTGCAGATTCGAACCGGCGACCTTTCAATCAACCAGCCCAGCAACACAGCGGTTTAAACCACTGTGCCACCTGCAGTCCCTATCTTCCTTTAAATACCTTTAAATATTTTTAAATATTTAAATACCTTTACATATCTTCCATTAAAACTGCCGTACTTATAGTTATCCGAATCTATGGAAGCAAGTCTATGAAACTGCACATCTATGATGCATACAGACCATATCATGGTAGGTTAATCAACTTAGTAATAAAATAATAGTAATAAAATAATAGTAATAAAATATTAATTCCTAGGGAATATAATATGGCATATAGAGTTGCTGATGAGTCATCACAACAGTTGTACCTCTGAATGGCAGAGAAAATACCTGAATGCTGATTTCATACAAAAAGCTTATAGTATGTTGTCTTGTTACTAGAGAACTTAAGTCAAACAATAAGCTGCTATCCTAGCCAGACAATAAGGATCACCATATTGACTACAGATTTATTAAAGTACCTATGGTTCTATATTACCTGGAGCTAATGCTGGAGCAGAAGCATATATTTGTTGGTGCTACTGCACCAACTAAAGTACTAGGGTGCAGCACTGGAATGATAGATAAATTGTCTATGCAACTAAGAAAAGCATCAAGCAGTAAGATGCAGGAAGGCTCCGATTACCAAGGCAATATCCAAAGAGCAGATCTGATCACTATGTTGCCAACAACATAGATACAAGCATATAAAATAGTTACAGAATAGCATTAATGCATATGAAAACATGGGTATGATCTACTTGTATCACGGATGATGTCCTAGCTTCAGGATACTGGATATGTGGAATTGTGCTTGGTATACCATGAAGCCAAATGACAGCCTAAGCCTTTGATTTCATATCTGCCACTTTATCTAGCTCAGGGTCTCAAACTCAACTTAGCTGGGGGCCGCTGAGGCTGGGCCGCATCAAGTATTCCACCACCGCGGTGGTGGTGGGCCGCTCATCCGGAGGCCGGCCCAGGCGCCGCTGGCGCTTTGAAGGCAGCAAGCCCCCTCTCCCGTGCCCCGCCCGTCCCGGCAATTGGCCCGCGGGCTGCGAGTTTGAGACCCCTGATCTCCTTAAGCTAATATATTTCCTTGGTGCACTGTCTGTTTTTCAAATTCCAAGTCCTGCATGCCACAAGTGCTGATCTCTTTAGAAATGTAACTAACCCTCTCTCTAGGATGGATTGTCAGTTCCATGGCATATGTGTAGTTCTTCAAAAACCAAATTGTTACCAAAATTAAACTTAGATGGAAACTCAGTGCAATGAAAAACAACTATCTATTAGACAGCTACTTCAAAATGTAAGGCGGCCTTAAGTGTAAGATATGTACAGTTGGTGCAGGGAGGGAAGCAGAGTGCAGGGAACTAGCAAAGCACTAAATCTGGAACCATTCCTTTATCATTTAAAATTCTTTCATCTAGCTTGGAAACCCTGAAGTATCTTCATCTGGGAATTTCAAAGGAACAAAGCACTGTGCTGATTCACTAGATGCAACAACCCACCATATGCAAGTGATTCAGCTGAATAAAGGCACAATGCCCTTGTCAAAGTTCCAGAGTGTTATTGAGAGCTCTATTTTTGATCTCCACCTACACCAGTGTGGCAACATGTGCAGGTTTCAATCACACACTGAGGGCTTTTTGAGACCACACATACCTGTCATAATCCCATCTTCTTCCCATGCAAGTTACTCACATTCTGGAGTTGTGGCACATGCTTTTTATTCATGTCTGAATTTGTTCTTAAAGCACTTTCATTACGACTAATAGATAAATCAATTGTGTTTTCCTTTCAGTACTGTACCTGAGCAAACCTGAACAAACACTGCAGGAAAAATTCCTTCCTTTCCATTTAATCTCCCTCTGTACCACTCTGAGTCCAAGTGCTCTAATATCAAGATGTGGTCTCCTTTTTTAAAAGATAAGTCTTCCTGGGTTTCTGCTGTAAAATCATGGAGTGCATCACACCACTCTCCAGCAGGTTCTTCCAACTGTGAAAATGAAAATGCATCTCAGGTGTGTGTGCACATGAGGGGGAAATTTTTCTAGTACTGCTCAAAAAGTAACTGCTCCATTAATTCTATGCACATCATCTAATCAGCTTAGAACAGATTAGTGGCTTGAGGCTAAATGTGAGAAAAGCTCTGTTATCAATCCTGCCCTGTGGGGACGAATAAAAGATAGAAAATCTTCTGTTTTAACTTCATAACAGCAGTGGGCTTCTTTGTCTATGTAACTGTTAAGAGTTAAAGGGTATTTCAAGTAGAAATCTGATTTCATTGGTTTTTCGGAAGAGAAAAGAAAGAAGAGTTTGTTGTCATAGACCCAATGACTGTGAGCCATACCTGCTACCAAACCCAGACCCTCTTAATCCTTGGTACATCTCAAGGGGAATCTGTCCATCTGTTAACTGTTTCCCCCCTTATTCCTACAGCACTCTTTCTACTGTTACTAGAAAACTGGCATTTCCTAATTGCAGAATTGGTTTTCCTAATCCAAATGTTATTTCCTTAAAACTGTAAGAGTTTAAAAAGTGAGAGTGAAAGCTTAGTCAAATGTTTACTTATTACTATATTTTCATAACATACTAGAATAGCAGAATCTTACACTGCCTGCATTATTAAATATTAAATAGATGACCTGTGTCACGGAGGCAGCATTCTTAATGTTCAGAGATGCTCCATCACCTATATAAAAGGATAATAAAGCAAAAATATAAATCATGTCAAGTACCTATAATGTGGTGTTTCCACATTTCTTCACTGTAACTTATTAACGTGGCACTAACACATTTTCTTGTGATGCTTAATGTAGACAGGGCTTGTGATTTTACACTGATACTCTTTGTCCTCAATACATAAACACACTCTGTCTCTGCAGTACAACACAAACAAATCCCTGACTAGGCACTGTTTTGCCTTGACTGACTCCAAATTCTTGTGATGTGTACATACAGTATATGTGTGGTTTCAACAAACAAAAAACACACAAAGATATTTCTCTTCTGTTATTATGATAGCTGCAATGTAGTCAAGGAGCAACAGGAGATAGTTTTTACGTAATAACTTAGGTGTCATTAAAGAAGGCCAGTCAATCTGAGGTTCTTTCCAGGCCTGTATGTATTTTTAATAATGGCAAACAAAAACTCCTTTTTTCAATATTTCCTACTGACTATGCAAGAATTGCTACAAACTTGCATAACCAGTATAAAGCAGTGCTTTGTTAAATATTAGTGACCTAGTCATATAAAAAATTTTTAACCTGGGTCAAGCAAATCTTCAATTACTTCAACAAAGTTCAATGGGAAAATTCCAGTGGTGCCTCTCAGCTCTCCTTTGGCCCATTCTTCATTGACATATTTCTTCAAAATAATGATTTCACCTTCTGAAAAGCTTAATTCATCTTTCTGATCTCCAATATATTCAAATCGAGCTATACATCTAGGGCCTCTAAAATAACAAAACAGAAGATAAAAGAAAAAAACTTAAGGAAGAGCAGTAGTTTTCCTTTATAAACATTTTTATTTTTGTATAAATTCTGGATCACAACCATCAATAAATCAAGTGATTACTTACTGTGAACTAAACAGCACCTTTATTTTTAAGAGTGCAATGCACCAAATAATTGCTGACCAAAGAGACAGTGTGTCCCTTTCCTTTGGCTCTACACACAGAGATGCACTAGGGCGACTCTAACCCTGCTTGCCACAAACAGGTACTGCTTATGCAATCACAAGCAAGGAAATGACTAAAGCTCTTCTGTGAGGTTGACTGAAGTAAAACAAATCATATATAAAGAAGTGGTAAAGGAAAAGACCAGTTGTAAAAGGCAAACTTACAGAAGTCCAACAACCAAATTTAATTAATTTGAGGTGGATTCTCATGTGGTTGTCCACAATTCTCCAAACTTGCAAGGTTATGGGCATCCCATGGAGGATAAGAGAAACACAGATGCTAGGAGTGTCTCTGCATTCCCGTTGCCCTCAAAAACATTTAGATGTCAAATTTGGTCCTCTCCTCCTAAGGAGGAGAGGCTAAAGCATGGCCTGGTTTCTGAGAACGAGGACTGGTTTTTAACCCCATTGTTGCAAAGAAGTCTTTTTTTTCTGGGCTTCAATCCCACCAGCTGAGAGGAGGGCCTTCTAAAGACCAGTTCCCTGCTATGATCTTAGACGGTTTTTTAAGCCTTCTGCTACTATGCCTTTCTATGCACTGCCTTTGCTATGGCCAGTGTCTGCTGGTTGTAAGATTGTGTCCTCTTTCCCTTAACTCCAAATGTAAAGTGCTATGTAGCAATATTTCAAATAGCAAAGCCGAATGTGCCTGCTTTGATTTAGCAAGACTGTAAGACATTTGCATTTGTTACCTTCCTTATGTAACTCACGCTTTCATGAGAATTGTGATCAAAGTTACCATTTTTACCATCCTATATTTTATTGTCTATCGACTGAAAGCACCAACTCTACACTGAAAACAAATTAACATTCTTGAAAGGTTTGTTTGAGAGATGATACCATCTGCCCATTCCTTTCATCACTACATGTCATAGCATTATTTCTTTTGCATGCATACACACAATCTTGTTCTGTACCTTGCATTATAATGTATTTTGCATGAATGTGAATATATTGAACTTGCAGAAGTCAAGCAGCACGAACACATGCAGAATAGTTCCCAGAGAATCCTTTCTTTAACTTATCTTTAACTTCCCAAGTGAGCTTATCTGCCTCAAATGTCAAAGTTAGGAGTTTTGCTACACGGTTTTCTTAAGCAAAATCCTTTACTTATTAACAAACATTTCTGCTAGTGTATGAAATCTCCAGATCAGGCTTCAGCTTTCGATGGGCTGGATCCAGAACAACTTCATGTGACTATTTCTGCTTCTATAAGGTATGTGTCTGAGCGTGTGCAGTTTCTGACACCTCCATCTGTGGCCACCTGCACTGAACCCTATTTCACAGACTTCCCTGTTCTACAAAAGTGGCTCTTCAGTGAGATATAAGGGACTTTGTCCTTGGCTCCCTTGATTTCGCTTATTTACCTTTAACACCATCTCAGGTGAGCATCTCTAGGAATACTTACACAATATTTGGTGATGAAAAACTCACTTTTTTCCTGTTGTTTTCTCCTGGAATATCAACCTAGACAGGAGGTAACAAAGAACATTTACATGTTTTGCTTGTTTTCTTCAACTGGCTTTAAGAGCAGAATATGTTTGCACTGCCTTATTGAATAAAGCTGCAGTTCCAACTGCAGCCTTCATGTGGCAATGCTCAATTGCAAGAATATCTTGGTCGGTAATCAAAACGGAAGATGCACGTTTCATTATCACTATTGAGTATTCCGAAGACACAACATGTTCTAGACTTCCCTTTTGTTCTTAATAACACGTTTCAATACCGACGGTCCTCTCTGGGTTGCAGGCATGACTGGCAGAAATCAAGACCGAGCACAATTACATGCTGCTGCCTTTGGTTCCTGCTCCGAATTAATATTACCATCTATTATCAGCTTGTTCATGTCACAATAGTAAGAATTATTATTCAGACATATTCATTCCAGGACTTTGAACCCTTACATCTCAACATCTGCAAGCCAAAATAAACAAACGGATGCTGCAATTCCTGCTGCTATATTCGTACAAAAGCGGCTGGTTAAGAATCTGAGAGTTAAAGAAAATTGCACAGAGGCACTAATATTGTGCAAGCATCCTCAGGGAAATAGGCTAGAAAAGCAGCCAGAGACATCCTAGGATGACTGTTGTACACTTTCTTGCAAGGCAATACCTGCACTCAGTGCCAGGATTCTTATCCGATGCCAGAACTGCAAGTCTGGCGTAGTTCAGGCAAGCCATGAACAATCTGTATTTGGTGCTATAATAAAATAATAACATTCATGTGCATACCAAATGTTTTGGGAATTAATCAAACTGATTGTTTTAATTAATATAAATGGAAATGGACAAAAACATACATTTATGCACGCGCGTGCGCACACACACACACACACAAAGGAATTGTATATCTCTGCTGTCACCACAAATGTCAATATTAACATTTAAGGTGTGTTCACCCATTATCCTGGAATCTGTGTTAAAAGCCATATCCTGTGCTGAAATGAACATAAGAACACGACATTAGGCTGTTGCCATTATTTATCATCACCATCATTATTTGTTGTTCATTTTTATCCCACTATTTAAAATACACATCTTCAGTGCAGCTCACACAATAAATAATCAGATATGCCTCAAGCTGTTTCAGACATATGGTAAGGCAGCGCCATGTTAACACATGTTTTGCAACACCTTAAAAGCAGAAGAGTGAAGCAGCCTTCAGCACAATGCCTAATCTGTTCCCAACCTGCCATCTGATCCTCAAACTGCTGTAGCCATCCTGTGACTGATGTCAAGGATGCCACTTTAAAATCAATTAGTTTGGAAAAAGAAAAAATGTGTATCTGTATTTCAGTAGAAATTGATTTCATTAAAACTCTGTATGAGCACTAGATGAAACAAGTACTCAGGCACCACACTTTTGCAATGTATTGTTGTATTTAAGCAACTACAAAGTAAACTCAGATTTTTTTTCTAAATAGTTGGACTATACAAATAATCATAAACAGAGAAGGCCACACAGCATAATATACTTCTCAGAAATGCTGCAAGTAGGCCTTATTGGTTTCCTTGCCTGTGTCTGAGGTTAAGGGGTTTCTAAGGTTAAGTCCTTCCATTCATGGCTGTAGCAATGCTGGTATGGCTGACTATGCCGCAGAAACCTAATAGTATCCTGCAACTAAACACAAGGGAGTACATGCGACTGGAGTTTCTTTAAATTTACATGGTGTTCCTCACTGACATAGAGCACAGCAATTTTTGCAACACAGCTTATATGACTGCAACACCCTTCTGAGGAAATGTACTAACATATTTGTTGTAGGAACCCTTGATGGGTGGACATATTGTAGGATCCCCACATCCACAGGGGATACAATCCAGTCCCCCCAGTGGATGTCTGAGACTGCAGATAGTAGCAACACTACATACAGTCAATTGTCAACTTTTGCAGATTTGATTATTTGCAAGTCTGACATCAATAATTAAATGGTTTTCTTTTTAAAGTTTTGTGGGCTACTGCACCACGAATATGCATGAGGACGAGAAAAAGGAGACCCGCACAGGAAGTGCTGTGTCTGTCCACAGACAGCTGTAGAAGGAATGTTCCCCTTCCCACCTGCCACCACAGCTGGCGTGGAATGGTGCACTGCCCTCTGCAAGAGCATGGTGGATGCTGGACGTGGGAGCAGGCATGCAGTTGTGCGTGAGACTGAGCTGTGGTCTAGCATGGTCTTGTTTTCAGACTGCAGTCAGCCATGGTTAAGTGAAACCACAGTAAGTGAAACAGCGGATATTGGGGAGTTACTGTAGTAGTAGAAGATAATATCTGATACCCCAAACAGAAATCCAAAAGGAAAAATTGTGTGGTGAAAAACCATAAAACATACTCTAGGGTGATTTGATTGTGTGGATCACAACCAATTGTGGCAAGTTCTTAAAGAGATGGGAGTACCAGACCACCTTATTTGTCTCTTGAGAAACCTATATGCGAGTCAAGAAGCAACAGTGAGAACTGGACACAGAACCACTGATAGGTTCAAAATTGAGAAAGGAGTTCGGCAAGGCTGTAAACTGTCACCCTGCCTATTTAACTTACATGCAGAGCACATCATGAGAAAGGCAGGCCTAGATGAATCACCAGCTGGAATTTAGATTGCTGGGAGAAATATCAACAATCTCAGATATGCAGATGATACCACTCTTATGGCAGAAAGTGAAGAGGAACTAAAGAGCCTCTTGATGCAGGTGAAAGAGGAGAGCGCAAAAGTTGGCTTGAAACTCAACATTAAGAAAACTAAGATCATGGCATCCGGTCCTCTCACTTCCTGGCAAATAGATGGGGAAGAAATGGAGGTAGTGACAGATTTTATTTTCCCGGGCTCCAAGATCACCGCAGACGGGGACTGCAGCCAAGAAATTAAAAGACGCTTGCTCCTGGGGAGGAAAGCTATGGCAAATCTAGATAGCATACTAAAAAGCAGAGACATCACCCTGCCAACAAAAGTGCGTATAATCAAGGCTATGATTTTCCCTGTTGCAATGTATGGCTGTGAAAGCTGGACCATAAGGAAGGCTGAGCGCAAAAGGATTGAGGCCTTTGAATTGTGGTGCTGGAGGAGACTCCTGCGAGTCCCTTGGACTGCAAGGTGATCAAACCGGTCAGTCCTAGAGGAGATCAACCCTGACTGCTCTTTAGAAGGCCAGATACTGAAGATGAAACTCAAATACTTTGGCCACCTAATGAGAAGGACTCCCTGGAGAAGAGTCTAATGCTGGGAACAATAGATGGCAAAAGAAGGGGACGGCAGAGGATGAGGTGGCTAGATGGAGTCACTGAAGCAGCTGGCATGAGCTTAGGTGGACTCCAGGAGATGGTGGAGGACAGGAAGGCCTGGAGGACTGTTGTCCATGGGGCCGCGATGGGTCGGACACGACTTTGCAACTAACAACAAAAACAAAGGGTAATTTATGAGTACACTTGAATTACCTTAAGGATGTGTTCTCACTTAACCTGAAACTATCACAAAAATGATGCCCATAAAAATCCAGGCAGCTCTGCAGTATCAAGTTCACTTTATGTACCTCACAAACAAGTTGATATCCGCTTTGTACTCAAGCAAGATTTATCTACATAGTATGCTCAATAAAATGCACAGGGGAGAAATTAAATTAGAACTGGTTTGTGTACACAGATGGAATGCACTATTTTTCACTCGAAGTGGCCCACTTACAATAACTTTGACAAAGCTAGCAGGAAAGATCCCTGTGCGATTCTTGCATTTTCCTCGATACCACTCATTATCTATTCTTTCCAAAAGATAGACAGTCTCCCCAGAATGAAGGTTCAAGTCCTCTCCATGTTCTGTGGGAAAAAGGTATCATAACAGTTATAACAGCTAAGTATATCCACATATAATGCAATTCCATATGCAAAAACAAACACAACTTGCAAAATGCACAAAAAGACTGAGATGGGAAGAATATTGTTGTTTGGAGGAGTCACACTAATAAGTAAACTAGGATATTATTGTAATTTGATATGTGTGGACAATCTATATCCTGATGTTTAAAATGTGTAAAATGTATAATGTATTATATAATATAGCATATATAGAGAGGTGAAAATGTTGCTTCAAATGAGGCCTAACAATTGCTTTGTCTATGAGTACTGGAGGCGTTCATGGACCATAATACAGCCTTGTCCAGCTTTATGCCCTTCAGATTTTTTTTTAACCTCATCTCTGATTAGCCACAGTCAGCATGGCCAGTGACCAGGAATGCTGGGAATGTAGTTCAAAACACTGTAGGGAACCAGGCTGAGCAAGACTGCCTTAGCAGGTTTATAGTTGCCTCATATGTGTATATACTGGAATAGGTGAATCAAAAAGTTCAGGCTATGCTAGGTCAGCCAGGGTGCACTCCAAATTTGGAGCCTCATGGTCATCTGATGCAGAATGGGAAGAATATTGGAGGTGGGGGGAAGGAGGTAACTGAGGTGCCTTTAGGATTTGCCATAACTCTGGGTGACCCAGTGACTTCCACTCCTCCCCCTCAAAACACTTTCCCAGTCTTGGAGAGCAGCCAATACAATGATTTCCATGCCAGAAGGAGGCAGAGAATCAGAGCTCTAAGTTGGATTCCTAGCTTTGTGGAATCACTGGGACTCGGTAGTACAGCAGCCACTTCCTTCCAGTGGTACCAGTACCACCCCGGAGGGTTCTGAGGAAAGGAATCCAGAGTTGTGCACCTGTTTCATATCCTGAGCCAAATCTTGTGGTTCTGGCAGAAACATACCATTTTGCACAATTAATATTTTCCCATACAAGTGAAAACTGAATAAAGTCATATGGGTAGAAAGGGGTCAGGGCAGAAGGAACAGGGACTTGTTAATCCCTCCCTTTGCCCCGCCCTCCCATTTACCTATATATCTGTATCATTACAACCTTCTGCAAGCTGTTTCTAAAAACCTATTTAGCTTGGCTTCTCAACAGGCCAAGCAGACTTGTAATGCTACACTTAGCCAAAAGGCCAAGTCATGACTTCCAGTGCTGATGGGTCTGTGTGCTTCACTTTTTATTAAGGTGACTCATCAAGTGACTACCTGGGCCATGGCTCTTTAAGACTAAGTGCTTTTTGCCATTCAGTTGCATCTGTTCAGTACCTGCACCGTCTTGAGCTTCCTATCATCATGTATTCCTGCCACCCCTCAACCACACACCAAACAGCTTTTAACTACTCCCCTTCAAGGAATGAGGCTTGACTAGTTTATAAATAGATTATGGTAGAAATTCAAAGGGAATCCACCTTTAGCATGTTGCCATTTCTGAACAAAAAGCAACCTAGGAACAACAAGCTGACACACTAGCTCCACCAAAGATGAGCGTCCCCTGGGATTCAGATTCTACGTAATGTATCACTGGTGTTCAGAAATAATGTCTGTGAAGCATGCCTCAAAAAGAAACCCAACTTGAAATATTAATGTATAGTGTTGTCAAGTATCTGTACTCACCTGCTTGAAAATCATGCAGCACCACAGCATGAGGAGCACTTAAGTCAGCACTTGGGTTTACCCTCCGCATATTGTCCTTAAAAACACAGTAGATTTGGATATGATGATGCTTGATATTCTGTTGCATGTTAGAAAACCTAATTTCTGTTTGGAGCCTCTGACAAATCTATCACTGATTTATGTGGCTAAATGCCATACTCAAAGTAGCTATTGAACATAAAACGAAAGACTCAAAGCTCATATTTAAGTTGGGTTTTAATACTTCCTCATCTCACTGCAGATCAATGGTCTTAAAGCAGCACAGTGCATGTGTCAGCAAAATGAACATCACCTCTTTGAAAACCGCACGCAGCTGCTTTGTTGCAGTAAATGAGATGTGTGCCTGTCTAGGCTTTGTTCTCATTTGGGGAATTTTCCAACTAAGCTAACCCGATGAAGTACCCCTGGGAAGGAAGAGCAAAAGATGCTGACCTTTTCAAAGTACAACATCCATTTCTTTTCCTTAAGTGCTACAAATAACAGCTTATATATGTTTGCAAAAGAGACATCAAATATATAAAAGTTGTACGATGCTTAACATTTTCCCTTAATATGCTGAGAATACTGTTTCAATTAAGGGTATCAACAGCTGTCATGGGACGGTACCAAATGATAACATTGCCTTGGAGTAATTTCTAAAGAAAAATTATGCTGAGTACTACAGAAATGCCTAGGAAGTTGCAGCCATGAGTGGAACAGTTCACTATACTCAATATTGCTGTGAGGAACCTCAGTCCAATAGGCCAAATTCAGCCCTCCTGAAGTCTCAGTTCCCCAGTCCTTTGGGTTTTCCCAGATAGCCATATGCTACTTCCCTGACTGCCACTCAGTTGGTGGTTTTCTAGCTTTTTGACATTTTCTATTTTGAAGGGCTTAAAAACTTCTCCTAAACCTTAGCTATTGGCAGGAAAAGCAGGAAAAATGCTGCTATTTTGGGTATTCAGGCCTGCTCCCTTTAGCCCACCTGCCACTTGAATGCAGCCCTTGAAAATTGAATTTGTCCCTCAAGTTGAAAAGGTTCTCTATATCTGTGTTATACTGTATATGGATATAATATACTGCATTCACGTTTGAGTTCTTTTCTGATATGCAATTCTTGATATATACATCAAAATTCCTATCCTTTGTCTGCTTTTCAAATGCTCATGCAGTCAAGCCACAATCTGGTTTGTTCTCCCATCTGGCATTCAATATAGCTACTGCCAACTAGTACAAGCACATCTCCACACTTTAAATTACAAAGCCATTATAAAGTTTAGTATGTGCATAGACTCTCATATCCACAGCCACAAGAAACTTTACCTTGCAAGTATGCCGAGTACTTTGGAGAGAAATGTCTTCCTTGGCAGTTCCTTGGGGTACAGGAAGCTTAAGACAAAATACTAATATTTTAGTCAAACATAATTCTGCTATGTACCGTATTTTTCTGTGTATAAGACGCTACTTTTTCTTAAAAACATTAACTTAAAAATGGAGGCACGTCTTATACATGGGGGCTGCGGGAGCTCTGGGGGCGGAACTGGCGCACGCAGGGGGGCGTGTGGGCACGCAGGGGGGGCAGCGAGGCGCTGTGTGGGGGCGGCAGCAGCTTGCTTGCTGGAGATGGGTAGGAATAGTGGGGGGGGTGTCCTATACATGGGGGCGTCTTATAGACAGAAAAATACGGTAACTATGTTTTATAGCAAGTTATTAATAAAGAAAATACTGACATTAAAACATTATAAGTCAATTTCTTCCTCTGTATTCCAGTTGATGCATGAAAGCAGCAGCATATTTTTGGGAAAACAAATATGAACTAGGGCTTTAATGTGCAATCAGCCCCTAGGTCTAGTTAATTCCACTGCTTTTAGAATTAAGAGATCCACAGTTCAAACCTGGGTAGAAGTTGTGTCCTTTAATGCGGAAGGGATTGTTTTACTTCTGCATGTGAGCAGTTGCTTCTGGTGGATACTGAAGGATAGCTTATTTCCTTGAGAGGTTCCAGGCACTGAGATATGGAATTGAGAGGGGCTCTGGGGTTAACCTTTGCTCAAATTCTGCTTAACTTCTAAAACTATGGACTCATCTCTTTGCCAAAAGCTATTAGTACGTGCTATTGAATCACTGGATAACAGAGTCAACAAAACACCATTATGGCACCAGTTCTACTTTTAGGTTTAAATACCAGAATTGCTGACACAGTCATGTTTGGAAGCACATTAAAGGCACATATAAAAATTATCCTTGTACTTCATTTGATAACTCTTACCAGATCTATAATTGGTGTGACTTTTAAATCAGATATACGATAACCCAAATTTTTCTGTGCTGAAAATTATGTATTCTTCTCACCATATATTTATTGTACAGAGGATGACCTGGCTTGGGTCGAGGAGGCAAAGCAGGATCGCTGTTTTTGATAACATCACTCTTGGTCTTCTTGACTCCTAACCCAAATGTGCTGGGTTTTTTATGGAGAGTAGTGTCTGAGGATGAATGAGAAATGCCATCCATTTGTGACGAGGTCTTGACTGATTTTGGTGGTGGTGGCCTTCCTGGAGCACCCTTAGGTGGAGGAGGTCGAGCTGGCATGATTTTACCTTCACTTGGCCTAGAAGTTACAGAAAAAGCATAGTAATAGAAAGCATTGCCTATTTAATATATAAGAAAAATATTGTAGAACTGGATTGTGGGAATCTCATTAAAAATGAAATGCTACCCAGGATGGAGTAATCAATGCAGCTTCCTCAAGAGCTTATTCTCTTAAATAGAGAATTCAGTTCCTTCTGACTGGTTCATTACAGTCAACTGGCTATGGAAGTAATCCAGGCCATGATTAAAGAGCTTTGTCAGAACCTGCTGAGGATGTTGGATGTACTGTGTCTGAGCCTTCTTGAATGAAGACGTGCTGAGCCAGCTAAACAAAATATTGGGAGACAGTTATAAAGGTTTACAAAATGCCTTTCCAGAACCATCTTTAGATAACTTACCAGGATAGTATACTGCTTATTACCTTGGCATGTTATAACTTTTAAAGCATGTGGGGTTTTTTCTGTTCAACATTCTTTTAATTCTAAATTCCATTACCCACAGCAGTACATCTAGGAGTAGACATTAGGGCAAAAGCCCCATAACCCATTCTCCCCAAAATTATCACCCAGGCAGTGGCAAATGAGGGCATTAGCATAGCAGAAGCAAATTCCATTTTATCTGTGTAGCCTGATGCTATTATTTAAGTGAGCTTAAAATGTAGAACTGCACATTCATAGAGTATGCTCTGAGAATATTCTGTATTCTTTTTGTACCTGTTGGAAACCTTTTTATTTTCCCAGTATTTTAACAGTTCACTTCTTAACTTCACTTTTAATATTGCATTTTATCCTGTACCACTACTAAATCTCTCTGTAATTGGTGTGGTTTTACAGTATTATGCTATTTTTGTTGTTTGTGTGTGTGCTTTTAACTTTTTTTTAACTACTCAAAGAGTCTTGGCTTTTGAGCAGTCTAAAAACTAATTAAATAAATAAAATCAGCATTAACAATAATTTTAACCTAAAAGGCATGTATGAACAGTAATAAGGCAAGAATTGATGCTGGAGACTAGGGAAGGGAATTTTAGTTATGGGCTAGAAGTAGTAACCAATGGCATCTAAAAGTGGTCCCATAAAACCATTAGGACCAGGACCTAAATAAAGCTAGCTTCACCACTGATTGCCTATTATAAAAAGCAGCTCACTGAAAAGGGTAGCTGAATTTTACAAAAATTAGTATGTACAGGATTATAGTGATGCAGCAATCCACCTCTCATGGCAGATTAAAATAGGATTGCCAGTTAGTTTTTCTCAATTACACACTAAATGTTTTGGACAAATTTTGAAATTTTTCTTTTCCCAGCATTCTCTAGATTATTTGGATCTGTACTTTCCAGATCTGTTGCAGCCTTCC